ACATACTTTCACAGCCCCTCTAAGGCAGCTCACACCGAGCTCTTACACTTTCTTCTAGCCACCCAATGTCCTGCACTGTTCAATGCATTACTCTGCTCCCAAAGTCTTGGGTAAAATGATAAAAGTATAATAAATACACCCATAGAAAATAGCAATAAGACAAATGCTTACTTAGAACAGGAGTTACAAATGCTGCTATTAAAAAAAAAAAAAAAGAAAGAAAAAAGAAGAAAAAGGCATATGATGCCCCTGCAGGAAATAACTTTACCCAAGTGCAAGACACAGTAGGCACACAACTCTCTTCTGAAGGCAACACTCAAATACATAAAAGAAGAAAGCTATTCTCAATATTTCATCAAGATACAAGATGTAGCTCAAAGCAATGCTTCAGATTTCCCCAATTCTGCAGGACAATCTTGCCCTGGAGCAAGCTACATCATTCATCCACAGCCACACCTTGCTCCCCCCACCCCACCCCTTCAAAAACAACGCAGCACCGCAGGGAAGACAAAGCCGCCTGCACTCCTACACTGTACGCACTATTTGTATTCATACTCCGCTGAACAGGAGACAGCAATTAGACCTTTCTAAACAACGATCCATTTATTGATTACCTACACCATCGATGATAGATACATGAAACTACATTCTCACTATGCAACGGTTCCAAATAATTAAGATAGCCAGCAACAATTTAATCATTATAATTGTATAATAGCGCAGAAGTGTGTTTTCCTTTTTATTTTTTGTTTAGGTTTTAAACAAAACAGCTTAGCTTCTTAGTGTGCACCTGCCACTTTACAGACAGTAACTTCCACACCCAAGGGGGCAGGAATCAAATTACCTGTATTTCCAAGTTATTAAATTGTGTTTAACTTTCCTCATAGGTAAGCTTATAAAGACAGCATGCATGTACAGACTGGGAGAGGAAAAAATCTCACTCAAGTAGCGCTTTTATAAAGATATGCTTGAATAGCAACTTCAGCACATGCACTTCAAAACATAGTAAGGTTATCCTGCAGTAAAAGTGAAGTTTCACTTTGCCAAGAATTTTCTTTTTGTGGTCCAGTAGTTTGAATAGATCAGGCAAGGCTTTAGAAACCAGTTTAACTAGACTTTAAAAAATAAATAAGCAAATGTGAGTACATGTATCTTGTTGAAATATGGATAGGGAAAAAATACTGACATGTAAAAACACGAGCCAGTAATATTAGAAATACTCTCAGGCGAGTGTTTCTAATAAGTGTTCTCTACCTTTTTACTTTTTTTATTTTTAAAAGAAGAGTGGTAATTTATGTCCCTTGACTACCAAAAACACAGAAAACAATGTCTTTCCATTACATGATTACAAAACTTTGTAGGCAAGAAAAGGAAAAAAAAACAGCACCAAATTACCCCTCCGCTTTTATTTATGACTACTGTAGCACAGTCTGAATGGGTTGTGGGGCAGGACCCAGGTTAAGCAGCGTACTAGTTCTGTACTTTGGTACCCAAGTGAGTTTCCCGACAAGGTGCACTAACATGTGAAGCGGGAAGACACGAAGCAGCTCTCTGTTTAACTCATCAACTTCTAGTTACCACCAGCACACTTACTCCACCACGGTGCCTGCCTCGCCTTTCAAGTCTGAGTGAGGCAATCAGCTACTCATGCTCCAAGTTCAGCAGTATCTGTGTTCCTCCAGCCAGTTACACAGCAGTGCTAAAGACTGTGAATGAAGGATAAACCCGTTGCAACTTCTAGCACCAAGACAAAGCAAACAGTTCAGGATCGCAATCGTTTATTAAGGTTTTTTAAGGAGGTAGTATTCTCCTTTCAGGTAAATGATTTATTATTTTTTTCTATAAGAATCTAACAGCTTGTATTCTTATATAGGCAGATGTTTTTTCTGTGCAATTCAGCTCACAAAAGCATATTATGTACTTTGTTTCAAGATGCTGAGTTCTGCATTTTTTAAGGGTAGCAACAATTTGCTTGTGGCTAGAAGTATGACTCTTCTTTAAGTAAAACAGTGACACACCTAAGGCTAGATTTAAAAAAAAGCTGTATGTAATTATCGGCTTGCTGACACAATAGGTGAAACTGTGTGTCATACTTTATTTGAATATTTTTTTCACCGTTTCTCTTTGGAGTAGCAATTCTACCTTTAAGAGCTGATCACATTTAGAAAAGGTATGGACAAAGATTTTTTAAATAAAGCCTTAATATAGTGTTAATACTTGCTAAAATACTGTGCAGCTTTGTCAGGAAACTAAGCGTATACAAACCACAACATAGTACAACTGATCATAAGCAATTTTCAGCTTCCCCCTTGCCACTCACCCTGTGTTTCTCTCCACTCCAGCAAGTTATTCCGAACAACCGAAGTTGTCGTAGCTGGCATAGCCACACTGTTAATTGGTATTACTACCACAGGTAGGAGATACCGATTATTTTAATTTGATATTTTCCTAAAAAGAAACCAAGAATTTGTTTCCAGTACAGTCTGAAAGCTAAAAGACAGGAGCTTCTTCAGAAACAACCTCCTTCGTACCTGTCCACAAGTTCCCACTACCAGCTCTGTGACAGCAAAACGAAATACCACAAACCGTGAAAAATCAAAACGCTGAGCTTGCATCTAACATACAAAGAACAACATTATTTTGCACCTTGGTAGGGTGAAAGGAGGAAACGAAATACATCACTTAAAGCATCATGAGCAGAGGAAAGATTCTGATAAAGAGAACAGATCGGAATTCTGGTAAATAGAAGGCTTACACGCTCACAGTTAGGCTTTTCTAAGTTTCACAAGGAACAAGCTTGCCAGACCTTTAAAGAAACCTTAAAGTTGTTCAAGTCAGTCAGAGGATGGAAGCAGAGGATGTATTTTCATAAGACTGCTGACCCAATCTACAAAAAGCACCAGTTTTGAACCAGACTTTGGTACTGGTATGGCAACGCTTATCCTGAAGATATGCTCACAGCCAGAATATAAATGTATTCCTGCAAGTTTAAAGGTAGCAGAGTGAATAACTGCACAGCTGATAACAGCCTGCTAGAAACATTTGTTAATATTTTGGTTACCGGTGTCACTGTGTCTTCAGTGGTACTACTGTTGGTTATATTAAAAATAGGAATACAACCCAAGATGTAATCACATGATTATTTCACTGCGCAAATACATCTTTATGTAACTTAATGTTAAGAATTTCATACTAAATATAATTTAGTATGATCTCAGCTAGAAGGGAATTAAATATGACACTTCAAAGTAAAATACTTCTTTAATAACTTTCTATGGCAAATATCACTATTTCTAGCACGCTTAACAGAAGCAGGTCTATTCTGGAGCACCGCATTCTCCTTCTGAAAGTCATCCAGAAACAGTGGACGGCATCACGTTCTAGCACAGCCTGGCAGTACAAGACTCCTCTCCTTTAATATCCACACTATTGTAGGTGATACATCATCAAAACAATGTGAAACTGCTTTATCAGAGACACAGGGCTAAGACGTCTTAGAATTTTTTGTCCACTCACTTCAGAGAAAAGATGAGACAGCTTAAAAAAGGAAGAAAAACAGCGTTTGGCCTTTAGAAATTTGACAGCAGGTTCTTAGACAGAAAGATTTTATCAAGGTCTCAAAAAAACCCAGGAGCAGGTACCACACAGATGATAACCACTGTTGTGTGACCCTGTGGTAAAGGACCAACACTGGAAAGTGAGGGTACAAGGATGAAGAACAGCAGAGACCAGCAAGGGCATCAGGATCAAGGAATAAAAATGGATACACAGAACTTCTAGAGCCAAAGAACTTTAAAAACAGGTTTTAAAGAAAGAAAAAGTCACATATTCTTTGGGAACCTGCTGAGCTAAGTAAGTAACCCTATGTTTCCAAACAAGGCTTTTTGGATGAGACTGAAATAGCTCTGTCAGCAATCTGGAAGGAAGGCAGCCCCCAGAAACCGAACCAGATACCCAGGTCCACAAATTCCTGTATAGTCCAAACTTTCTTTTTTCTTTTTAAAAAGAGAATACTAAGTGACTACTGATCAAAACCCCTCTGTTGGAGACAAAGATGTCCGAGTTGCTGCCATCAATGGTCGTACTAAAAGCCTGCCAAGAAACTGTTAGAAGCTACCTCCTTGTCTTTGCGGTGCAAATCACCCATTAAAGACACCTTGAAATGTTAGCCAGTGCGCTGCCAACAATAAGACTAAACGCTAAAGAGAGAATCCCACAAGCAAACAGGAGGAAAAGCACAAGACAAAAGTAAAAAGTATTCGTATCTGCAAAAATATCATCAGTGTTAAGTGAAAAGCTGCACCACGCTCTAGTCCCCCACTGCAGTATCACAGATTTTGATTTGGAAATGTTTTGAAAATTTTACTTTTGAAAGTCTTTTGAAACAGAAATCACAGATTGAAAAAGAAGTATATGTATGTGTTTCCACTGAGCTGTAAGTAGAGTTTAGTACCGTGGTCATTCTGGACTGCGGTACTCTGTAAGAAGGTATCAAAAGAGAAAAAAAATTTCTCATGTATTTGTTAACTTTAACTAAAACTTCTTACAAATTATTCAAAAGTGATATGTTACTAAGAATTCAGAATCACTGTGTAGAGAGCTCAAGTTCTTACCACTTTCAGAAACCAGAAGTGATTTTATTATTTACTCAAAACAATCTTTGAATTGGAACACTTCAAAAAGAAAATTATAGATCATATAGAAGAACCAGGAGGCTCCAAACTGGTTATTCAGAGAAGAGCTGAACTGTAGTTTATTCTTTTAGACCTAACCTGCTCAACTTGGAAGTTGTAAACTGGTCAATAAAGACATTCTTTGCGCAATATCCATCTGACAAAGTACCAAAAGTCCTAGATCATTATAAACAAGTATTCACTTGAAAAGGTAAGAAGTAACTTCTTCCATAAGTTTTCTCTTCTTCTAATATTTCCAGCTCTTTATGACTCCATAGAGCAACTTCCCAACTTTAGAGTGGTTTGTTATTTTTACCTCTATTGCACTAAGTTTCCAAATCTTCTTAAACTTCCTGAATCTGTTTCACTGAGCTAATGATAAAGCAGGTGATCAAGGAGGCAACAGATGACACCCCTCCAACCAAAACATCCACTAATTTCTCTGCATCTTCTTACAGTGAATTTCTTTGGTTTTTTACTTTGGTTTCCTTATGACAGATAAACAGAAGGAAATTAAGTCATCACACTTGACAAGGAAATATTTAGATGCATTTCAGTCCAAAATTTTAAATTGCAACATACCACAACAGGAAGAAATTTTAGACTTCAACAATTACATGGAAAGGCGATAGTATTGTTTATGCCATCATCATCCCATATTCAATTCTTTGAGATATTCAGCATATCTGCTAGCATAACTCAATGAACTTTATTAAAAATTATCACAGAGAAACAAAAATATCCATTCCTTGGTGAACAATATCCAGAGATCAACGAATTTCATTCATGTTATATGGGACACACCAGCTACTTTTTAAGCATGAAGGTATTTCACCTAAATGAATGTGTTACTTTTAGTCAATATTGAATTCTAAATGTCGTAAGGGTATTAGACTCATAGATTATTAACTTCTAGAAGATGCAGAATTAGACTATCAGATTAACTTCTATCTCATTCCTAATTTTGAGTAGATTTTAAAAATTAGCTGTAAATAGCTCAGCTTCTTATTGCCACAACTTACCTTGAAATCTGATTAATAAATGGTATCAGTTCTGCAGGGTCGTAAGCACGAGCAAAGGCCCAGCACACATAGCACGCTGCATCTCTGACGTTGGAACCCACACTGCATGCCCCCCTCTTCTCATCGTATGTCAGCGCTTTCAAAATTACAGGAACAACTGTTAAATTAAAAAAACATACAAAAGCAATGATTAGGACCATACAGTGAACCAAACAAAAAAGCTATAAGAGCATTCAGTGATCATTCAGAGAAAAGATACAGGGTGGAAAGAAAAGCAAGCATGGCTCTTAATACATGCTAATTCTGAAGTTGATTAGAAATAAGAGTTGTGGGGTTTTAACACACCATTTTGTTTCTTCGTCAGTAGCAGTTTATTTTTTTTCTTTCCCTCACATATAATTCAATGAGGATTAAAGCAAGCAGGTTATGTAAGATGTAACACTGATATAATTTATTACTCAGTCATACATGTTCAGAAGTCAAAGTAATTTTAAAATGCAAAATTTTTTAAGTGTCCACTTTTTAAAGTACTGGACTTCAAATATTACAACAGCATCTATCACTAGAAAAAATATTTCTTAAGAAATACAGTATTGTAACTACAATAAAATAAAAGAATCAGTACCCACCTATTAGCAGGCAACATTTATCACAGTAAAAGTCCTAATATGACAAGTTCTTCTTAATTAACAAAGCTTGAGACTCATCAATACACCAATCTTGAAAGGGACTTAAGCACAGTTTTTGCTAATCTTGGAGCAAAGTGACATGTTCAACATCACTCTTGCATTAAGCAAGCACGCTGTGATACTTTATTCCCCATAAAGCTGTTACTTTGAGTGACTTCAAAGCAGTATTTTAAGCTTGAACCTATCAGCACTGCCAAACTGCACAGATTATAAAGACAGAATACGCATAAAACTGCAATGTAACCTAGAAATGCAAACAGGTGGCCTTTACTCTCATTTCTGCTTAGACATCCAAAACAAGTGGCGACTACATGCCTCTTCACCAGCACAGGATGATTTAATGCAAGACCAGAAGCCTTTGATGAAGGAAAACAGTACACCAAAATAACAAAAGCCAGTGTCTTTTTTTTTTTTTCTGTCCTATCAGTCCTGTTAATTATATTGATTTCACCAACATTATCAGTTTTTCTTAGACACTGAGGAAATAAGATGAAGATATTTGCATCCTAAACAGCAACACAGAATCATGCACTGCACTTCCAAATGTACTCAAAATGCACATAATTTGATTCTAATGCCCAAATTTGAAAACGCTGTCTCACGAGGCCCAGTACAGAGACTCAAGACAAAAGCAGCTGACAACCATCCTGGGAAGGTGCCTTTTGTTTCTCCATCACTAGTTTGGGATGGTGTGGACAGGCAGGGACACTAAAACACAGCGCAACACTTAACAGAAATTAAACTATACCTCAGCATCACTATACCTCAGTGTCACCGATGAGTGTTTAAAGTGTTATTTAATGTTATATTTTATTTATTTACACTTTGTTTATTAATGTTACACTTGATGAATCCAACTAGTTACAAGAACCGGAAAAAAAACATCAGCAGGGATACACTGTGTTTCTGAATAGAAATTATATACTGTGTGTTCTTGAGAATATTCTGTTTCTCCTCACTGATGCAGAAAATCACCCTCGACTGACAGTGCCAGGATCCCTTTAATGACATACACACTCCAGAACACACACAGAAGAGTGGCATTACCTGTGTTCATGAAACAAATCATGACTCAAAAAATCAACTGATACAACAGGCATCTTATCCAAGGCAGCTCTTAGAAATGGACGCATCAAGCACTGCTTCCCAATTTAATGGACAACCTGAGGAACTCTGAGCTGAGTATGTTTTAGGCAATAAAGGCCTAAAAGCCACAGACCTCAGTCTAACATAAGTCTCTGTGCCACACTTCATTGAGGGAGCTCCAGAGGGAATGCAGTTGCACAGAGCATAAGCCCAGGCTGAGCACTGGAACCACACGATACCGTTGCAGTGAGACAGCAGCGGAATACAGCTCTTTGTTTGGTTTGTGGGTTTTTTTAAAATCATACTGGGGAAAACAGAGAAAGCAGAGTAGTAAAACAGAAGTAAAGGCAAATGAAGATCCCAGAATCTTATCACAAAGGCCTTACAACACAAGTACTGTTATTATAAGGAGGTGTCAAAAACAAGCTCGGGAAAACAAGTAGATTAAGAATTTCACTTTCATGCTTATATCCCCCAGCAAAGCTGCAGAAGTCAATAATGTTTTTCTACAGATAAGAGAGTTTCCAAAAACTTAAGAATTCTCTTAAGTTCTAGTAATACACTGCAACAGTTTAAGACATATTATATGTACGCAGGGCTCCCCAGAGGCCTTCCTTTTCATATGTGCAAATCCAGATATATAATTTGAAGACATTGCTCTCTAGATGGCATGTCTTTAATGAATGAATAACGTCTGTAGAAACAACAGCCTCTAGAAAAAAAAAGAACCAATTTCTCTCTTGATTTTCTTTCTTGTATCGAATTTATCAAGTGCATCTTTTTTCCTTAGAAAATACTTGTCAAAAGGTGATCCCAAGGAACAAGAAATGGGATCACTGAACTGTATTTCATTAGCAAACTGTGCCTGGATTTACTTGAGTGGATATAATCACAAAATAATTAAACTTCAATGTACAGTTCATCACTGTATGTCTGCTGCTTCAAACAAAAAAAATGCACACCACAGCTGGAGAAGGGAAGTGTTAAAATACCATTTAAATTCATTTTAACCTACTAAAGAAAATCAAGCAGTAATTAGAGGGATGGACAATACACGACTATTAGGAGCACAAGTGCTACAAGAACAATGATATAGCAAAGATGGATGGATATTTGGGCACTTCCCAGTTCCAAAAGAAACTACAATAAAAATCTTTAAAAATGTTGACTAGCTTGTTTTGAAAACTGCTGCATCAACTGCTGAAGAAAACGGAATTTGCTGGTTCTACAGGAACAGTAAAACAGATGCCAAAGGCAATTTTGCAAAGCTGCTGCAAATTTCCTTCAGCACAGGGCAATTACTCCAGCTACTTTAGACAGCTGTGAGGGCACTCTCATCTCTCTGTGCACTGAAAGAAATGCGGAAGAAGGACCCACAAGCAGCTCCTCACATTTGTATTGTCTGTATGAAAGAAAAAAATACATGTTTTTTTCAATTCAGGGCACTGATTTCCCAAATGGCAGAGACAATACCAAACGGCATGGACAATACTAGACAGCACCTGGCTTATTAGGGTCAGTCTAAGACAGAGGTGATGCTGCCAGGGGTCTGTAACAGCAGATACTAAGAAAATGCCAGCAACAGCAGCACTATTACTCCCAGCAGCTCAAGCTTTCCCCATTATCTCGCAGCCAGCCTTCGGACTCACACCTCTTTGATGTCCTACTCCTGTGTCTAGGACTCAAAGTATTGCTGCTGCAAGAGAAACAACATGACTGCAGTCTGGAGAGCAATGGGGGATAATGAAAAGGAAGGATACAAAAGTGGTGGGAGAAAGAGGGAAAACAAGGTGAAGTATGCAGCAGTAAGGGCTAAGAAAATATAAATACAACAACAACAAAAAGGGAAATACTAATCTAGAGGTTATCTGCCAAGGTTTTCATGCTATCCCTGGTTGAATATTTACTGGTGAACTGCAGACTATGGGAAATACTATACAAAAATTGCTCCTGACAAATGTTTGTGTGTTTGAAAAAGTGGGTCCAGCATTATATCTCCTGTTGGTATTTAAGAGTCATAAAACCCCAAAAGAAACACTACCAAAACTTCCAGGTTTCACTTCATTCTTTACCCTAGAGTTCTTCAAGCATAATGCAGGATTTTTTCTGCTATGGCTTCCTGCAGTGTCAGAAGAGCCTGGCTGAAGGAAGTCATGAAGGAGCAGTACAGGCAAAACGTTCTCTATTATTTAGTCCACTGTAACTAAAATATCTTAGAAAAGACCTTTCTAATCCACAGTTTGACAGACTCTGTGTTCGCATTATCTCATGTACACTTTTCGTCTTCAGTCTGAATACAAAATATTACATCAAATTTGATTTAACATTTTTCTCCAATTTAAACTCTTCTAAAGTGGTGATTGATATACAAAGCAGCAGCTTCTGCATTTTGTATCTGTTACGCAATTTCAATTCACCATTTTAATCACCTCTCAAATATTCAGTATAGTCACAGTGCTGCACTGTGCTGCTCTGTATTGTTTCAGTTTTTCAGATTTAAAATCATGTCTAATTCATACCTAAAATCCATTTATCCAAAAAAAAACCCCACAAATAAAAACAGCTTTAGGGGGAAAAAAATTTCCAGAAGAAACTTAGTTTAGTTTGGAAGTGCAGAGACAAATTTCTTTATTTTCGAAATTATGAACGTGCCTTTTTTATTTGAAATTAGGAGGCTGGGAGATACAACAAGGAGACCTAAATTGTTACTTAACTCTAAAAGTCACCATTTCTTTCATAGATCCACATTAAAAACAGAAGATAAAGAGTGTCCACTCTCCACCTAATTATTAAAACAATATCCACCTGTTTAGGTCTGTGAACGCTCAAGAAAATACAGTCACCTTTACCTGTAGCCTAGAGGTATTAATAAGCACCTGCTACGCTCCACCCTGCCTTACCTAACAACATAACTGCAGGTTGCAACACGGCTCTTTGCTCAAGCCTTGTGAAAATAAAAGAAACAACTTCTAGCTTCAAAGCATTACAAACAACAGACTATTTTTTTTCTCATACTGGAGACAGGTTGCACAGATATTTTGCTTTTTAAACACAGATTTTAAACAATCAGATGCTTCGCACCTTTCAGGTGCAGGAGATAGACACTAAACAACTAATTAAGAAAAATTATGGAAGACTTTGTATACTGAAAGGTCACATGTATGTGAATGAAAAATGCCTCATACTAGTCCTTTAAAAACGTGCCTTTAAAAATATACTTTAAAACAAACCTAGAGTAAAAAACATGCCATCAGAAGCCCCATGTTACTTTAACTTCAGATTGTAATTTTTTTTTCTTTATTGCAATGTTTACCATATAAAACATACAAATACAGCAATTAAACAAACAAACAAACAACAGAAACCTGTTCCTTAGCCTCAG